TGTGACATCGCAAATAGTTTGGAAGTCCATCCTGGTCCAGTATCAACTTGTACAGTGTGATCCACCAGACTTTACAGGATTTAGGATAAGATTAAGTATTTTAATGTGGAAATGATACTTTTCCATACATGTCTGAAGGGAATCTTTAAAGAGTAACTTAACACTAAATGTTTTTGAGTTAGTAAAGTGAGTTAGTAAATTATAGTGACATATAGAAGTCTTATCTGGAGTTGAGAATTGAAGAGAGATCATGTGAGCCAACATGCGGAAATTCTGAAAAATGTTTCAAGGTGAACACAGTGAAAAAAGAAACAACTTCTTAGTCTTGTATTGCAATTTTTATTTAATTTGCTCAAACAAAACATATGTTAGCATGTAAGAAAAGACTAATTAACATGAGAACAGTATGGTACAATGCAGATGATAAAAGAATAAGTCTGGAAACCCATCCGCGAAACTTGCTTCAGCCAAATTACTCTTCGCAAACATTCCTTCAAATTCTTTCAGTTCCCTCAGCAGAAAACTGGGTTTACGGACAAAGATAAACATTTCCATCAGCAATCATGACATCGACATGGAGCGGACCTCACTGCAGAGGACAAAAACTGATTTCCAAGCGTGTGAAGAAAGCCAAGCTGCTGAACACAAACAGTCTCTGTGACATTTAAATGGCATGAGGGGACACAGAACACTGCAGCCAGACTCATCTGGACTTCCAAACAGGACTTTAGCTTCAGAAAAATCATCTCAGAACCCTTATAGGCCTCATGTCTCAAAGGTTTGATTGTACTTCTGAGCTGTAAGAAAAGCAACCTCACAGCCGTATGGAAATAAATCACATTTACTGTATGTAAAAAAAGAAAAACAGAAAGCAAACAAAGAAGATGTTGGTGCAAAGATGTTTTCTTGGTGGGGAACAGTACCAAGGTCATTAAACTCTCCCTTCAAATCATCATGACCATGATAGAGAAAAAAGAAAGACAAACAAAAATAACAACTGCATGTGATCATAACGACAGTCCCTAGATATTATTACTAGTCATCTTTAAATCTTTGACATATTAAATGCAACTTCGGAACAAGGCACAAACCACATAGCTTCACAAAGAGATCAACTTTTCTCAATCAAAACAATTCACCTGCCGTCACGTCCAAAGGACTGACGCAGACACACATCTTCCCTCTTTTTAGCTCTCTTGACAAAATGATACAAAAATAAGAAAGGCGACTTTGTTGAGAGTGATTATGTTTAGCAGGAGACTGCCGAGTTGAATCCTTTGGTGAGATAGCCACACTGTTGGCGACAGAGGCTCTAAGCAACTGTTGTCAGAGTATGTTGGATTGCTCTGCGGGTTTTTGTCTTAAAGTGCAATCGATGCTGTGTAAACACTCAGTACAGGGAACCTCATGGCTGGGTGTTTCCATAAAAAAAAGTGGATGAAAAGACAAACTCGATGAAACAGACCTGAAATCTGAAAAGATGCCAAGAATCCCTGTCCACACTCAAACCAAAGGATTACAGCATCTGTATGTCTGAACCAGAATTTAATTAACTTTGATACTCATCTCTGGATTTAACAGATCTGGCCCGATCCGAAGCAAACGAGAGAAACTGAAAGTCAGATCAGTGATATCTCATCTTTTGTAGTTATAAGTTAAGTTATAACATCTGAGCCCTTGAACACAGTTGTGTTGTATGTGAACAGCCACAGACAGTCACTGATTAACAAACCTTTCTCTAGGACACAAGTAAGGCATGATGGGAACTCCTTAGCTTGGTCCCCGAATCATAACTTAAGAGACACTCCACCAACAGAACTGTGACATTAAGAGTGAACCCTGGTGATAGTATGCACACTGTATTGCCTTGTTAGTTCTCAATTTTGATGCATGTAACAATCGAGACATCACGAATATTCACATGGCAGACGCAAAATCACAAAGCATCCTTTTACAGCTTGTTTTGGATCAGCTTGGAAATCCTTTAGAAAGTCAAAAGGTTTGTTTTCACGAGCCGAGCAGACCCTACTGTAGTCCTACTGTCCCTCCTCAGGATCAGAATTTCTAAGCCCCGTCCCTTTTTACTGTGCTCCAATAACAGTTGAGCAAGTCTCGGTCAGAACCTCAGCCAACTTTCTCCTTTCCTGTACTTAGATATGCTAGATGCTAGGCTAATCTATATTGCAAAACAGATAAAAGCGACTTAAATATAGTCACATCTTACGTTAGCCAGCTAACTAATGTTAAAAACGCTAGCTAACTAGCTTCCTAATCTACATGAATCATTAGCTTGCTAGTTAGCAAAACATTAACTAACTAGCTAGCAAATGTACATCAATTGTTAGCTAGCTAGTTGCATCTGAAAGGTAAAAGCTAATTTTAGCAAAATGCAGGCTAACTAGCTAGCTAATTTAAATCAAACATTAGTAAATTAGTGAGCTAGCATTTTGCTAAAATTAGCTAACTTAAGATGTGACTATACTGATATGTCTATGTAAGTTTCTTTCTTTTAGCCATCTTCAAAATGTGGTTGTC